ACTTGTCTACGGTGCGATTGCTCCATCGTTTCCCATCGTCTCGTCCCTCTCACCCGTAATCTTAAACAAATAAATTCCTTCTGTGATCTGATTGAATCAAATTCTCCTCACCCCAACACGATACTGTCTGATTACCGGCTTGCACGCTTTGTAATGCTTTTTTGTTACGTCCAGTCCATCCGTGTGCTGATGGCACTCCTACTGCACTGTCGAAGTTCAATGGGCCTGCCTGAAACTCACGGCTGTAAGGTGCAAAGTGCGGTTTCTCACTCGGGTTAGCTGGACAAGCACTAGGTTCCTTGTTGCAGTCGAACCATTCCACCGATCGATAAATGAACCCCAGCGGTCGTGCAATACATATTTCTGGCATTGAAAGGCACATTTAACGAGAAACCTAATAGTGATATAATGATGCAATAAAAGAATTAAGTGTTTTACAAAACCTTGGGTGCTGATTATTCACTGGTTGTTATAATCAATTCACTTGAAGTTACTCCGTTTGATAAATATATAGCTAGATAGATTGACTGATTGGTTGACTGACTGATTGATTGATTGGTCGATCGATCAGTGTACAATTCCTTACCTCCGAAATTCACCTTTTGAGTAAAAAATCCAGGCAATATTATCTCCCACAGAAAATACCTATGCACGTATTTAAGGATAGGAACATTGAAAAATATCAGGGTACTGTTAGCGTGTCTAAACGGTCTTTCTCTGCACAAAACTTGAAATCCATCACTTTAAGTTTTGAAAATTATTTATCCATCATTTTTTATTATCATGCGGGTGTTACACCTCGGAATGTCTTCACTTAAGCATTTTTCAATGGAATTATTATGTGAGTACTCTAAAGGAACACTGAACATGTAGTGAGTCCCAAAGGGTACAACAAAGCTGTCTAATGGTAGTTTATTTTTGTCATTGGTGGTAAACCGAGCAGGTTTCGAATCTCGAACTTGAAGAATAGTTCTATTAGCCTAAACGTTTTACAGTTCACAAAACCTGGTTTATCTAACACGTGATGATACATTCCCTATGATTTTTCGGTTTATGGGTTCCAATGTCGACTATCAGTTGCATGCATTGTGAATAGTGAAAGATATGTTTACACTAGGCAGTTTTAAAAATACGGCTCGTGAGTAGATCTCAAATTGCGCGCTCCCCTCTGTGTAATGCTTTCTGTTTAATAAGACAATTACACGATGCGATATTTCACTATTTTTGCACTTTGTTCATGTTTTGATCATAAAAATGTATTGTCTCTTGCAGAAATGACCCTCTAACCTTGTTTTTGCTCTCTATTCTGTTAGTATTGAGTGATCCACCCGGGAGAGCTGTTCCTGTCACTCCATCTGTCATGATAAAACTAATCGAAGCCTTGCGCTATGAGACTGGGAGGCTTATACCTTTATGGCTGCCCACGTGTATCAACCACACGGATAACTGGCTTGATAGTCAATTGCTGCCGTTGATCCATCAATATTTGCTTCGCTCCACGCCTTCCGGATTCCTTCTTCCAGTGGCATATCTTCTTCTGGGTCCGACCAATTCAATCTTTCTTCACCGATCCAATCTCCCGCTACGTGGTCGGAAAAGTAGTCTCACATCTAGACCGGACACATCCAAGCGAACTAATTCCAGTGCAATTCGTTGTACATTATGGATGGAATCAATCCTAACTGATCGCCCCGTGTCTGCTGAAGCGTCGTGCTTACGCGAGTCCGGTTTCTCTGGATCTGTAGGCGCTTGTTCAATAGATCCGAAGTGTTTGAAAACTCCGACAGATTTGGACGATTATGAAACATGGGCGTTTGCTGGTCGTCTCAATCCTAAACTGGCCTATCAACGAAGTCATCATTCCACGATTCCATACTTCAGTATGGATAAGATTGAACGGAGTTTGAAAAAAAATAATAACGCACTGTATTTCAGCCTCAATTCAGAGCGATATGCTGAACATCTTGCTCAAAGCACGTGTTCGGAAATTTTAACCAGCGCGAAAATCGATCCTCCGTTCATCAATGTGTTTGTTTGGCTTTTGGAGTAAGTCAAATTGTGATCACATTAGTAATGTCAATACAAGAATCTGTTTTTCTTCAAGGCATCATGGTACACACAATTATCAGGAATGGTGAACCATAGCTTAAGTAATGAAAGACTGACCCGCTAATTTATTTCAACTATCCTTTATTCATATCAAAAGTAAGTGTTTGATCCCAGTGTTCTGTAGCTATTCAATGTTGACTTCGAACACATTTTGCTGCGATGGTTTTTCAATATTTTCTTTTCAAGGGTGCCGGCATATTTTCCGATTAAACCTGATGGAACGTGTAGTTCGGGCCCCTGGGAGGTGGAATGTAGTTTGATAAACCAGTTGACAAAATTCATTTTCAATCTGAGGGTAAAGTTGTTCAACACCTCACATTGATAATCTGAACTACACTAGATGAAAACACCTTTTTGGCTCTAAACCAACATAAATCAGTTTTCACTTTAGCAATTGCAAGATTTCATTGAATTTTGGCGTTTGTGTGTGTTCATCGAAAACAATAAACCAGCCAGTTGAGCTGAACAAAAATTAAATAATTCCATAGATATTCTCAAATTAAATCTTTTTGTCGTAAACAAGATTGCATATACATCTGCATTCATTCAGATTATGCAAAGAATAAAAAATAAGAATACATAAAATAAATTAAAAGGAAAACAATTTGGACCTCTCCTATTGCATTAAATTAGACGTTCATAAACGATCTACCGAGGCTCTGGGGCCAAAATCATTACTGTTCGCAGATGACACCAAAATTTGGAATACAGTAACGCAACCAACGGGCTCATTGGTACTCCAAGAAACGTTGAATGCAGCTCATCTCTGGTCCCTTATGAACGATAAAGAATTCAATGTGCCAAAATGCAAGGTTCTATTCCTACGGCACGGGGGGAG